TTAAAACTAAATGTATCACTACTATATGACCTAACAATTACATTTACGGACATTTATTCCAGAGAAATTAAAACTTATGTTCATATTTTAGAAGCCTTAATAATAATAGCTCCAAGCTAGGACAAACTCAGATGTATTTTAATGGGTAGGTGGTTAAATAAACTATGGTACTTTCAAATGCTGGACTACATGGCAGTAAAACACACAGAAACACTACACGTGCACTACACACACAGACATATGCATACCACACACACATACACAGACATACAGTCACACATAGACACAAACATATATACACAGACACATACCACACACAGAGACACACAGACCGACACACACAGGCACACACAAGCACACAGAGGCACCCATAGAAATACATACCATATACACACAAACACACATAGAAACATACATCACACACAGAGGAATCTGAGTCTCCAGGAAATTAGACTGAACTAAAACAGCCAACCCCGAAAGGTGGCATACTATATTATTAGATTGTATTCTTGAAATGACAAAAAAAAAATTATAGAACTGGTGAGCAGACTAGTAGTCGCCAGGGTTTGAGGAATGGGTACAGTGAGTGGGAACCATGGAGTGGTAACAAGGAAACATAAAGATATACATGTGTATAGAAGTATAGCTTTATTGGCAATTTTTTATTGGATAGTTTTGCGAGATGCTACTATTGAGAGAAACTGGGTAAAGGTGTGACAGAATGCTCTATTATTTTTACACTGCATATTTTTACACTAATTAAAATGCTCTATTTATTTTAGAATTTGTCTAATGTTTAATTAAAGAAATAAGAGAACAGATGTAGAGGACAGGGTCTTGAGCTATGAAGGCAGTGGACAGGTACGACCAAGAAAAGAGTGAGAAAATAACAGAGTGGATGGGGGAAAGAACCACACTGAAGAAGGAAGGGAGACAGAGAAGAAATAAAATGTACTAGTGCAAGTGCTTATCACGAATGGAGGGAGGACCACAGATAAGCCAGGGCCAGGCTCCCCCAGGACCAGCTGGAGTCCCATGGCCAGTCACAGGCTCCAATCCTACACCTCTGCTCTTCTAGCCAGCCTCTCTCCTGCCATGCATCTAACCTGTGCTGTCTCCTCTCTTAGCCATTACCTGGCCATGAGCAGCTCTGTTTTGCAAGGTTCTGTTGAAGCCTTCCCTGTTTCCCCTAGCTGAATCTACCCTGCCTGTTGCTATTCTCTACCCATCTCCCATGGCACTTGCCACCTAAGCTGTCATTTATTCCCCCAGGGTAGGGCAGGCAAAGTGTACAAATGAGTCCATCTTCTATCAAAGGTACGTGCACAAGGCAGGAGCTTCACACATATTTTTGAAGGGATATGAGTCACTTTTTTAGTTCATCTGACAAAGGTCGAATACAAAGAAATGGGGATCACGTGACTTGGGCTGGGAAGGCTTTGTCACCCTGGTGCTCAATGGGGCTGCTGGCTGTCAGGGCAGCTTTCCTTTGTAAGGACCCCTGGCACCTGTGGTTTCTGTTGTCTTAGGGACAGTCACCTTCTGAGGCAGAGGCAGTGCTGCCTGTGTTTGCTCTTCTGACCCCCACCCCCACCCCCAAGCTTCAGCACCCAGTGCTCAGGCCCAGTCTGACTACTTGGTGTCAAGGTGACTGGAGGACAGAATCTCAGAATGCACAGGTTCAGACTTGGTCCCAAATGGCTTGGCTCTTGCTTTTTCCTTTTTCTTCTGAGTACAAGAAACAATTTAAGACAATAGCCTTGGGGTCTCTGTGGTTATAAAACTGTGAGTCTGGAATGGGAGAGAAGCTGAGGGGCAGACAGATACTCAACTGAGGGACAGGCAGATACTCAGCCTCGTCAGGTCAGGGCCACAGGAGCTGACTGACAGCCCCATCTCCTCACCCTCACCTCCCTGCCCTCAGACTCTGTCTACTCTAGGGGTCTGTTCTTAGCGATCAGGAAGAGCTGTAGCAATCTCCTAACTGGCCAGATTGTCCGTGACCTTTGCCCTCAGCTTGCTTGATCCAGAATGATAATGGAACTTAACATTTAAGCCCCAGCCAGGATCTCCAGGGTCGTGTGTTAAAGGTTTGGCTCTGACATTTAGCTTAACACCGCTCTTGGCAAAGGTTGCTGCCACCCTGGGCGCCATTGACAAGAATAGCTCCCTTATCAGAATGTCAAGGTAGGAGGAACTAGATACCCAAGGCCAGCCACCCCATCCCTCCCCTTGGGTTTCTGTCCCCTGTGTTTAAAAATGATTTCAAAGAAAGCCACTTCCTATGTCTTTTAGGGGAAAAAGCATTCAGGTATTTTCATTCAAATGCCTTGTTACAATTCTTTGTGCCTGAACTCCATTCTCCTGCCTCTAGGGAAAAAGGAAAAATTTCTCCAGGGCTGACAATTGTCTTAGTCGTGGGCTGAGGATGGGTCCCCTCTCAGAAGCACTGTCAGCTCTCAGTGACCAGTTTGTAGTTCACATTCAGTGAAAAGTTTAATCTAAAAATGACAGCCTTGAACCACCTAAAGGATTCCTGTTCCCCACATCTTATTTTCTCTCCATTGTTCTCCACCCTCAACCTAAAAATTCAATCAGTATTGGCTTGGAAAATACAGGCAAGCTTTAGCTAATGTCCTCCTAAATGGAAAACAACCCTGCCCAAGCGATCACATTCTAAAGGGTTCACAAATTATTCCTTCTGCATGCTAGGTGATCAAATGAATGGATACTTAACTGATTTAAAAATAAAATTGAGAAGTCAATACAATTTTCAGGTACATGAACCTCCAGCATACCCTCTGATAGCTTGGCCCAAGAAGGCTTTTGGGATGGAATCTCAGCATTTACAGTGAACCCGAAGTAAAGACTAGGAACCCTGCTGTGTGATTAACTTCATCACAGATGACCAGAGCAGCCTTAGAAGGCACTTCAATTAAATTCCTTGACAAGCCCAGTCAAGCACTTACAGAGAGCCCCAGAGGGACCTTGTAGAACATGTAGCCTGCTCCAGGGGTGGCAAGGTCCAGGGAATGCAGTGAGAGCAGGTAAACTGATGAGTCCATAGGATGCACAGAGGGAGGCGCTCTGTACCCAGGAGGTGGCAGGTAGCCTCTGGGAACCTATGCTGGGGACTCCTGTTGAGATCTAATTTCATCTAGAGATGGCATCTCAGTTTTGGGATAACTGGGCAGAGAGGCAGATAGCCCTGTGCAAAGGGGATGGCCCTACCCCATCTCTTGCCTTCTTTTCCTTCTCCCTTCCTCCTCCAGCTGACCTGCTTGCTAGGTGGAGCATAGAACATGCTTATTTTATGCTTAAAGCAGATATGCTCCTAAGCAAGCTCGGTGGCTTCTGAGACACCAGTAGTTCGTACCTATCTTAGCCTATGCCAGGTAGTAAGTCTGGGGAACATGGCTGGGCTGTTGGAGCATGGAATTCTTCCTGTGATACTTTGTCTCTCAGTGGTGGCCTGATCTGCTGTGCTACCAAGCAGCCCACATCCTATGACCCGGGACTCCCACTGGAGGCCTGGCTTCCCCTCCAAGACTGGTACAACTGAGGTCAGCTCAATTGTCTACAGTTCCAGGGTGCCAAGCCTTTCATCTTCGAGCCCAATGCAGTGCTTTTCTCTCAATCTCCACAGCATTTGCTCTGTTCTGCTCACCTGCCAGAGCCTAGGGAGCTAGTGGATGGGATTTAAGGCTGTCTAAGCAAAAGGCATGAGTCCTGGAAAGCCAGAGCACCTTGCAGGGTTAGTGTTTGGTAATGAAAAGTCCCTCGATGAGAAGCCAGAGGGCAAGGACTTAGAAGACAACAGAGCTACCCCTTAGTACTTAGAATTCTATTAGCTCTAGTCTCATCTAGAAAGCAGGCGAACCAACCTCTGCCTCACAGAACGGGTATACAGATTCACTCATCGAATCCTGTCCCAGCTCTGCACTCTGGTTCCTTAAATATTAGTAGCTTTGACTGCCCCTTTCCCATGTGGAAACATACTCTGTGAACCAGAAAGCTTGCAGTATGCTGAGATAAGGTACATAAGGTACATGAGATAAGGATAAGGAGACTCTCCTGTCATAAGCTGTGTACCACAGGCAAGTTACTCAGCTTCTCTGGGCTGCCATTTCTCACCTGTAGACTAGGATGCCAGTCTCACAGAGGAACTTACTGAAGAGGATCCAAAGAGTAAAGTAGTTGGCAAACGATTATGTTCCCACTGGTCATCTGGTGTTTGATAGGATGCGGAGCTCTTGGTGTGGATGCTAGGGAGCAAGACCCCACTTGCTTTAGGGAGTAGCAAGCATGGAACTTTCAAGGCCAATCTGAATTGAAGGAGCCAGCATTGATGTAAGTGTTCTCCACAGCCCCTGAGGACAGAAAGGCCCTCTCCCAGTAGCCTGGCCTCTGTTGGGAGGGAGGCTGTGACAGAGCCAGGGGCTCTAGAGCAGGACCCCAGGAAGACACCTTCAAGAAAGGGTACTGTGCTCACCCTCCCCCAGTCTTTATCCTTAGCCTTTCTTCTGAACAATTGCTAAGAGGTTTTTAAAAAGAAGGGAAGGATCCAGAAAGTGGCCAAGGGCGCGGTCCGAATTTGGTTAGAAAGAAAGGAGAAGCTGAGAATCTAAGGTTCAGGGTTGGCAGCCCTCTGCAGCCCTATCTGTCCCCACTTGAAGTATAGAGACGCTGTGGAGGGAGAAAGGTCCCTCCGCCTTCTCCTGTGTCCTGGCCTGGGAAATCAAAGATGGGAGATTTCGGGAGCCCCAAGTATCGGAGTCTGGCGCCGGGAGCCAGGCGTTTACAGCCTTCTAGAGGCCAGGCTCTGCATCCCAGGGCGGCCTGCCAGCTAAGACTAGTTCCAGTCCTCCGAACTTTGGACCACGGAGCTTTCCCTCATCCAGATTGCAACCAGGCAGGATCCAGGTGAGAGACCGCTGCCAGGGCTGGCAGACGCCCAGGTGCCGGTCCGGCTTCCGGAGTCCCTGGGCATGACAACTTACTTGCAGAGACTGGAGCTTCCAAGCCGGCTGGGGCTAACTTCTGGACGTCCCTCGGAGACGGTGCGGGGGACGCCTAGGGCTCTGGAGGGGACTCCCCAGCCTCAGGCATTCCCGACCCTGCGGTGGCCGCCTAGAGCAGCTCCCGCGTCTCGGGTCGGGCGGGCAGAGGCGTCTGAACCTCCCGCCCCTTCACTCGTCATCCTCTGGGTTCACGGCTACTCCCTTCCTCCAGCTAGAGAGAGCAGCGGGAGGCGCA